AGTGAAACAATCAGGTTCCTCCGGTTCCCCCTAGTGCTCCCAATGGTATTTACAAGAATCAACCGGGCCTGAAGTGAATTGTGAATTCTTGCCTTTAGATGTGCTAGAACGAGCCAGAGGAACATGACTTCTTGACTAAGTAAATATTTTCAAAAAGTTTCACATTATAATGATTTACAGAGTTCTGTAAATCATTATAATGGGTATAATTACATTTGTGGATATGGGCTTCTATAGAGGTCTGAAAGTATTTTCTAGTATCTAGTTTTCATTATGGATTTCTCATGTTTTAAGTTTGTTCACACTGATAAAATTATAATAATTTAGTAAATTATGCAGTTGCACCGTTATTGTGCATTCACACCTGGATAATACTACAGTTCCCAGAATACTAGAGGTAGCAAAGCAAACTATTGTTTTAGTAAAGAAGTCAGGCAATCATCTTTTCCATCTTTCTTTGACCAACTGTGATCTGACTTTGTGTGTGCGCAGTCAGACCTCATGAGTGTGTGAACTGCTAAAGTGAAAGTAGTTTGTTAACGATACTTGGCTGAGAGGTTGCAGGAGTGCAGCGTGTCACCTGCAGTTCTTCCTCTAACAGCTCACTGTGGCTGCTCCATTACACCTGGACATATTTCTAACTGATCTGCTGTCAGAAAAAATCTGAAAATGTCTGTTTTCTTGTTTTGTAGATGCAGTTTTGTTAAAGATAACAGCCAGTGTAGAAAAACACATTTGCATTTCCTGTGACTAGCTTACTTCAGCATTTCTTCAGACACAAAGTTGAAGCCTTTTTAAAATCCTAAATTATTTAGTGCTTTTGAGAAAACATTTGGAACTGGAGCCCCAGAAGCCACACACTGATCGGTTAATTTATAAAATTCCAATTCTATCACAGTTATAGTTTGTGTTTTGTGGTCATTTTGGGACTCGGTTTGTATTGATATCAATGCAGAAACATTTTTATAGATGAGTCCTCCTCTTCCTGCACACTCATGTAGGCATGACTTGTTGCCTAAACCAAACGTGTCAAATGGCATTTGCAAGAATCTACCGGGCCTTGTTGTTTTCATTCAGGCCTGGTGGATTCT